AGCCACTGCACCCAGCCTTGTATATCTTCTTTAAAGAAATATTTACCAGGAAAGCCAAGAGAATCCACAGACCCTTTGAAGAAGGTGGATTACTGCTGCAGGCTCTGTGGGACAGTCAAGGATCTCCCAAGACAAAGGTTATATTCTCCTGGGAGCTCTATGGCCCCACCCACTGCCTGATCCACCCTATACTACTTCAGCTGATGTGCTCTTGAGAGCACCACCTCCTGGCTGGAGGTCAATCAACATGTTTTATGCACGTAACAAAAATAACAACTAAGGACTCTCACGGAGTCCACTTCACTCCCCTGCTACCTCTACCAGAGCAGGTGCTGGTATCCATGGCTGAAAGACCTGACAATGGATCACATCACAGAACTTTTTGCAGATACTTCCTAGTACCAGCCTAGAGCCTGGTAGCTTCTCTGGGTGGCTAGATTCAGAAGAAAGATGAAGTCCAACCAAAATAAGCAAAACAAAACAAAAAAAATGATACAGGATACAAGTGGAAAAATCTCCAGTGAAATAGCATAAATTTAAAAAAAAATCACAACTTCTGGAAATCAAGGACACACTTAGAGAAATGCAAAATGCACTGGAAAGTCTCATTAATAGAACTGTACAAGTACAAGAAAGAACTTCAGAGCTTGAAGACAGGCTTTCAAATTAACCCAATCTGACAAAGACAAAGAAAAAAAAGAATTAACAAAAATGAACAAAGGCTCCAAGAAGTTTAAGATTATGGCTGGGCGTGGTGGCTCAAGCTTGTAATCCCAGCACTTTGGGAGGCCGAGGCGGGTGGATCACGAGGTTGAGAGATCGAGACCATCCTGGTCAACATGGTGAAACCCTGTCTCTACTAAAAATACAAAAAATTAGCTGGGCATGGTGGCGCGTGCCTGTAATCCCAGTTACTCAGGAGGCTGAGGCAGGAGAATTTCCTGAACCCAGGAGGCGGAGGTTGCGGTGAGCCGAGATTGCGCCATTGCACTGCAGCCTGGGTAACAAGAGCGAAACTCCGTCTCAAAAAAAAAAAAAAAAAAAAAAAATTAAGATTATGTTTAATGACCAAACCTACGAATAATTGGTGTTCCCAAGGAAAAAAAGAAACCTAAAAGTTTGGAAAACATATTTGAGGGAATAATTGAGGAAAACTTCCCTGGCCTCACTAGAGCTCTAGATATCCAAATACAAGAAGCTCAAAAGACACTTGGGAAATTCATCACAAAAAGATCATCACCTAGGCAACAAGCATCAGGTTATCTAAAGTCAAGACAAAGGAAAGAATATTAAGAGCTATGAGACAAAAGCATCAGGTACTATAAAGGAAAATCCACAAGATTAACAGCAGATTTCTCAGTAGAAACCCTACAAGCCAGAAGGGACTCAGGTCCTATCTTTCAGCCTCCTTAAGCAAAACAATGATCAGCAAAACTAAGCTTCATAAATGAAGAAAAGATACAGTCTTTTTCAGACAATCAAATGCTGAGAGAATTCACCACTACCAAGACAGCACTACAGAAACTGCTAAAAGGAGCTCTATATCTTGAAACAAATATTTGAAGTACACCGAAATAGAATCTCCTTAAAGCATTAATCTCACAGGACCTATAAAACAACAACACAATGAAAAAAAACTCAGGGTATTCATCAGCACATGGAACATTCACCATGACAGACCCTATAATAAGCCATAAAACAAAAAAAAAAATAAGAAAATTGAAATTATAGCAAGAACTCTCTCAGACCACAATGGAATAGAATTGAAAATCAACTCCAAAAGGAATCCTCAAACCCATGCAAATACATGGAAATTAAATAATCTGCTCCTAAATGATTGTCGGGTCAACAGTGAAATCAAGATGGAAATTTAAAAATTCTTTGAACTGAATAATAATAGTGACACAACCTATCAAAACCTCTGGGATACAACAAAGGCAATGCTAAGAGGAAAGCTCATTGCATTAAATGCCTACATCAAAAAATCTGAAAGAGCACAAATGGACAATCTAAGGTCACACCTCAAGGAGCTAGAGAAATGAGAACAAACCAAACCCAAACCCAGCAGAAGAAAACCGAGATCAGAGCAGAAGTAAATGAAACTGAAACAAACAAAAAACACAAAAGATAAATGATACAAAAATCCCATTCTTTGAAAAGATAAATGAAATTGATAGGCCATTAGCAAGATTAACCAAGAAAAGAAGAGAGAAGATCCAAATAAGCTCAATTAGAAACAAACCAGGAGATATTACAACTGAAACCACCGACATACAAAAGGTCACTCAGGCTTCTATGAACACCTTTATGTGCATAAACTAGAAAACCTAGAGGACATAGAAAAATTCCTGGAAATATACAACCCTCCTAGATTAAACCAGGAAGAAATAGAACCTCTGAACAGACCAATAACAAGCAGTAAGATTGAAATGATAATTAAAAAGTTACCAGTGAAAAAAGTTCAAGACCAGAGAGATTCACATCTAAATTTTATCAGACATTCAAAGAAAAATTGGTACCAATAATATTGACACTATTTCAAAAGACAGAGAAAGAGGGAATCCTCCCTAAATCATTCTATGAAGCCAGTATCACCCTAATACCAAAACCAGGAAAGGACATAACAAAAAAAACCAAAACTACAGAACAATATCCCTGATGAACATAGATGCAAAAATCCTCAACAAAATACTAGCTAACCAAATCCAACAGCATATCCAAAAGATAATCCACCATGATCAAATGGGTTTCATACCAGGGATGCAGGGATGGTTTAACATCTGCAAGTCAATAAATGTGATATACTACATAAATAGAATTTTTTAAAAAATCACAAGGTCATCTCAGTAGATGCAGAAAAGGCATTTGACAAAATTCAGCATCGCTTTGTGATTAAAACCCTCAGGAAAAATCAAAGACGGAGCATACCTTAAGGTAATAAAAGCCATCTATGACAAACTCACAGTCAACATGATACTGAATGGGGAAGAGTTGAAGGCATTTCCTCCGAGAACTGCAAGAAGACAAGGATGCCTACTTTCACCACTACTATTCAACATAGTATTGGAAGTCCTAGCCAGAGCAATTAGACAACAGAAAGAAATAAATGGCATCCAAACTGGTAAAGATGAAGTCAAACATTTGCTGTTTGCTGATGATGTGATCGTATGCCTAGAAGACCCTAAAGACTCATTCAAAAAGCTCCTGGAACTGGTAAATAAATAAATTCAGCAAAATTTCAGGATAACAAAATTAATGTACACAAATAAGTGGCCCTGCTATACACCAATAGCAACTAAGCTGAGAATAATGGATTTCCAGGAAAAATCCCCAAATCTGTGACACCGCATCTATACCATACATTGGATGTTTATTTATTTATTTTTTTGAGACAGAGTTTCGCTCTTGTTACCCAGGCTGGAGTGCAATGGCGCGATCTTGGCTCACCGCAACCTCTGCCTCCCGGGTTCAGGCAATTCTCCTGCCTCAGCCTCTGAGTAGCTGGGATTACAGGCACGTGCCACCATGCCCAGCTAATTTTTTGTATTTTTAGTAGAGACGGGGTTTCACCATGTTGACCAGGATGGTCTCGATCTCTTGACCTCGTGATCCACCCGCCTCAGCCTCCCAAAGTGCTGGAATTATAGGCGTGAGCCACCGCGCCTGGCCTTTTTTTTTTTTTTTTTTTTTGAGATGGAGTCTCACTTTGTCACCAGGCTGGAGTGCAGTGGCATGATCTCATTTCACTGCAATTTCCACCTCCCGGTTCAAGTCAGTCTCCTGCCTCAGCCTCCCCAGTAGCTGGGACTACAAGCACGTGCCACCACACCTGGCTAATTTTTTGTAGAGATAGGGTTTTAGTAGAGATAGGGTTTAGTGGAGATAGGGTTTCACCGTGTTAGCCAGGATGGTCTCGATCTCCTGACCTTGTGATCCGCCCGCCTTCGCCTCCAAAAATGCTGGGATTACAGGCGTGAGCCACCGCATCCAGCCTGGATGACTATTATTCACTTAATTTCCTAAATTGAGGGTCACATATATTTCAGTATTTTTAAATGTATTTCCTATACAGCTGTAATCATACTGTGTCCATATGTTTTCACTCTCCTTTTTCCCTTACTGTGTCTTAAACATTTGCTGATGTCACTGAAACTGCAATCATTCCTGCTAATGACAGCCTAGCATTTCATGGCACTGATGCACCTTGGTACTATGTGCAGCGTTCACAGCTGGAGAGTCTTCCAGTGTTTGTCTATTTCTCTTTTCAGCCCCATGGCACAGGATCCTAATATCACTAGGATCCTATTATCTTATACCACAAAGCACAGCAACCTCAGAGAGCCTTGATCAGTTTTTGGTTTTGCTCAGCCCTTCCAAATGTATTGCCAAGTCACTCGTGTTTGGGCCCCATCAGAATACCGATTATGTCCACACCCAGACTGCAAGGTGTATGTTGCTAATACATATATTTGCCTGCTGTAACGTTCTAGACTGAGGAAGAAACAAGTATTTATCCCCCTTTCCCTTCAGTTCCTCCTTGCCTGGAATGATTTCCTTTTTCTTAGCACTGTCTCTGAATCCTGTCTCTTTAATTTTCAGTTTACTCTTTCTGGTCTCACCAGTTCCATGAAGTTTTTTCAACCACTCTCGCCCACATTAATATCTCCCTCCAGGGAACCATCTGCACCTTCACTTTAGTACTTTATTGCTAATCATCTTGTATTATTCTATTTCTTTTACTGTAGATTATAAGTGCATGAAGAGCAGAAATGCTCTTAGAGTTCTTTTCCTCTCCTATGGGGCAAAGCACAGAAAGGTGACATACAATAAATCAGCCAAATGGAGCAGAGTTGAAGTGCAAATAGGCTAAAGTGAGATTTTCCTTTTTGAATAACAACAATACAACATTTGGAGTACATTCAATATCCAAAGCAAGAATTTAAACCATGTTATGTTGTTATCATCTGAATTAAATATTAGTAAAAAATGTTGCTACTTACTCAGAATTCGTGCAAACCCAAAGTCACAAATCTTGATTATTCCTTGCTTGGTTATTAGAATATTTTCAGGTTTTACATCTCTGTGAATACACTGTAAAATCATTATTTGATTATTTTCCTGAACCATCAAAATGACAAAGAATAAACATTAACTACTAAACAACAGATACACAACTTATGAGATAAAAACAAATACAGGCTTCCTTAATTTTTCTAAAAGAACTTAAATTGGCAAATTTTCACTTGTAAATCTTGTCATACCAAAGTTTAAAAAATTATTAAAATATTGTTTTATTATTGAAACAATTAGAATTATAAATTGCATAAGAAAACTGTGTCTTTTTTTTTTTTTTTAAAGAAAGAAGTATCAGGCTGGGTGTGGTGGCTCATGTCTATAATCTCAGCACTTTAAGAGGCCCAGGTGGGAGGATAACTTGAGGCCAGGAGTTTGAAACCAGTCTGGGCAACGCAGTGAGACCCTCTCCCTACAAAAAAAGTTTAAAAATTAGCCAGGCATGGGGGCATGTGCTTTTGGTCCTAGCTAATCAGGAGGCTGAGGCAGAAGGATCACTTGCACCTGGAAGGTTGAGGCTGCAGTGAGCTATGATCACACTGCACTGCAGCCTGAGCAATTGAGCTAGACCCTGTATCAGGCGTCCCCAAACTTTTTACACAGGGGGCCAGTTCACTGTCCCTCAGACCGTTGGAGGGCCGCCACATACTGTGCTCTGCTCACCGACCACCAATGAAAGAGGTGCCCCTTCCTGAAGTGCGGCAGGGGGCCGCATGCGGCCCGCGGGCTGTAGTTTGGGGACGCCTGACCTATATATTAAAAAAAACTCAAGAAGAGAGTATCATACAATTATTTCTTTCACATTTTGCTGGGCCCTATTTATCCTGTAAGAGGTAAAACCCTAAATGAGATTAGACTCAGAGCACCTCTAATAACTGCTGTCACTCAAGAGTCACAATTCAGGTTGAAAAACTATTGCAGGTTTGAGAAATTAGAAAAACGTTTAAATGATAACAAAAAGCAAAATTCACTTCTAGTTAGAATGCCCATATTATTTATCATTCAAATCAGGACACTTCCAAGTGTGAAAGAGGGGCCTATTAAAAATCACAGGACAACAGGCATAAGCCAGGACTGCCCTGGGCCAGCTGGGGCACAGTCTCCTACTTAGCAGAGATTCCGAGGCATTCCGCCTCAGGGAGGATGGGGATCACTTCCACCTCCTCACCAAGGAGCTAGCCTGGAACAATCAACACTTCTGAGTCAGAATCCCTACTGAGGAAGTGGGACCCCACTATGAGGCACTCTGACCTCAAAGACGCTTTGTTTTTTGTTTTGTTTTTCGAGGCAGGGTCTCACTGTGCCACCCAGGCTGGAGTGCAATGGTGCGATCTCTGGCTCACTGCAGCCTCCGCCTCCTGGGTTCAAGTGAGTCTCCTGCCTCAGCCTCCCGAGTAGCTGAGACTACAGGTGTGTCCCAAGTAGCTAGGATTACAGGCGCTCATCACCATGCCGGCTAATTTTGTATTTTTAGAAGAGATAGGTTTCGCCATGTTGGCCAGGCTGGTCTCGAACTACTGTGCTCAAGTTTTGAGATTACAGGCGTGAGCCACTGCACCTGGCCCCTGCTATTCTTTCATATGCAGCAGCCTGACAATTTGTGGCCTCATCATAACGACCCTGAATGAAGTAGAGACTCCTGGCTGGACAGGAGCCGCCAGGCTAGGGCCTGGGTGAGGGCAGGCTGAGCATGGGCATTCCAGAAATGGGTTTCCATGTTGCAGCCTACTCTTCAGAACTTTCCAGTTTATCTGCATTCCCCAAAAAAGAAAATGGATGAAAATAATATCGATCTCCACAACTGGGCCCTCACAGGGAACTCTGTACTTTTCAAAGCACTTTCAATTCAAAGCATGGATTATTTCATCCTTGCAACAATCCTGTGATTGCAAGTGGTCCCTGACAGAGTCCACGAATTAAGTGTCGCAATAATCAACTACTGCCTCCTTCTCTGCTATGCCATCAGGACCTTTAAGTATTTCTGTCAAATTGACAATACTGAAACGATTTTCTTTGCTTCTCTAATAGCTATCTAGAAAGAGAAAAAGCTGAGCCCTAAATTCATTTTAGGTTCCAGAAATGACACTGGTAACAGGAGCTCGTTCTTGCTTAGTCTCAATTACCGTCAACTGCTTTGCAATTTGTATGAAGAGCAGTTTGAAGAAACTTTTTTAGGTCTCTTAAAAGTACTAAGGCCATAGATGCTAATTAAAAAAAATATATAGGCTCGGCATGGTGGCTGATGACTGTAATCCCACAATTTGGAAGGCCAAAGTGGGAAGATTGCTTGAGCTCAGGAGTTCGAGACTAGCCTGAGTCCATTAGTGAAACTCCATCTCTACAAAAAATGCAAAAAGCAGCCAGTTGTAGTGGCATGTACCTTTAGTACCAGCTACCCAGGAGGCTGAGATGGGAGGATGACTTATCCCCAGGAGGTAGAGGTTGCAGTGATCCAAGATGGCACTACTGCACTCTAGCCTGGGTGACAGAGTGAGACCCTGTCTCAAAAAAAAAATTGTTGGAATACAAATGAACATAGTTTTGATATCCTTTTAAGCAACACACTTATGAAACAGACTAACACTCTGTGTCAGTAACACAGTTGGTGATTACATTAGAACAGGTTATGTTCCTTAAATGAGTTTGCATCAAATTCTAGTATTTTCTAGACTATGTGTAGCATTACCAAGTAAATGGATTTACATTGATATCTGTCCATTGGCCTATACATCTGTTTTCTGGATCTAATCCATGTGAAATTTATAGCACTTATTTTTCGACCAAATATACAAAGGGAAATGAAGTGTTGACATATCCCAAAGAAACAGGAAAATGTATTGGTATAGGAGCAGGTAAGAGAAGTTACTGATAAAGAGTGAGAGGATATTGAAGAAATTAAAAAGGGAGTAAAAATAATTGGAACCTAGACGGCATGGTGGCTCATGCCTGTAATCCCACCACTTTGGGAGGCCAAGGCAGGCGGGTCACCTGAGGTCAGGAGTTTGAGACGAGCCTGGCCAACGTGGTGAAACCCTGTCTCTACTAAACATACAAAAGTTATGCAGGTGTGGTGGTGGGTGCCTGTCATCCCAGCTACTCGGGGGGGCTGATAAAGGAGAATCTCTTGAACCCAGGAAGTGGAGGCTGCAGGGAGCCAAGATCGAGCCCTGCACTCCAGCCTGGGCTACAGAGCCAGACTCTGTTTCAAAATAGATAAATAAAAATTTAAAAATACACAAATAAAATAAAAATAAAACAAAAAATTGGAACCATAAGAAACAGGATGCAGGGGATGAAGATGCTTAGACATACAGCGTTCACCTACTCCACTGCAAAGCCACATTCCGTGCAAACTCTCTGCAATGCCTCTTTCAATCAGCTTATTTTCCCTCAAAGAACAAAAATCATGCAAGTCTCTTAACAAAATAATTTTAATAAATTGAGTTTTATACACAGCTTTTAGCAAACATTGCTCAGGTTGGGTTGTTGTGGCTGATGGGCAATTTTTTTTTTTGTCTCACAAGCCAGCCAAAAGAGAGATCCATGATATTTTAAAACTGACTTTTAACTTTAAAATCATCTCTGCAAACTTGCACATCAGAAATTGCTTCTTAAATAGCCTGATAAAACAATAAATAGTTTTTTATTATCTGAGAAATTTATTCTCTTTGAGGCTTAGGCATGGATGCTCATACAGCAAGGAGAGAGAAAAAGGACCCCCTCGTTGACAATCAAAACATAGATATCAACAAGATGCTGAAGGATGTTGCAGCGTGACCCACTCCTATCACAGAAGTCGTTTTTGCCAGCTGGGCTTGATGGCTTATGCCGTAATCCTAACTCTTTAGGAGGCCAAGGTGGGAGGACTGCTTGAGGTCTGGGGTTTGAGACCACCCTGGGCAACACAATGAGACTATCTCTGCAAAAAAAAATTTTTTTTTTTTAAATCGGCCACGCATGGTGGCATATGCCTGTGGTGCCAGTTCCTTGGGAGGCTGAGGTGGAAGGATTGCTTGAACATGGGAGGCTGCGGTTGCAGCCGTGAAGGCACCACTGCATTCTAGCCTGGGCAATAGAGCAAGACCCTGTCTCAGAAAAAAAAAAGAAAAAGAAAAAAGAAGTCATTTTTGCCATTTTGAGATGAAGCCCCTTTTCTCTAATCAATACATCAAATATATAAAAATCCATGTGTTCATTATGGTGCTAAATGGATCACTCGGTTACCTCACTCTAGCGATATTGTAGTGTAAAACAAAACAAAATGAGTAGGTATTAAGTCCTGTGCTTCTCCAAATTTAATGTGCACATGAATCATCTGGAGCTCTTGTTAAAATGCAGACTCTGATTCAGCAGGTCTGTAGTGGCTGTCAGATTCAGCAGTTCTAACAAGCTCCCAGGTGATGTTTCTGATCCATGCTTGGAGTAGCAAGGCCTGAAACCCTTGCTACCTTAACCGTCAGTGTCCTGCTTAGGATTATTACTGTGCTTGGCCTGAAAAATTATCTATTTTAAATAGAGGCCATAGATTATCAATCAGAAGTTTTCCATGTTTTAGAGCTTAAGCTATAGAATGTGTTGTTCCGGCTGGGCATGGTGGCTCAAGCCCGTAATCCCAGCACTTTGGGAGGCCGAGGCGGGTGGATCACGAGGTCAAGAGATCGAGACCATCCTGGTCAACATGGTGAAACCCCGTCTCTACTAAAAATACAAAAAATTAGCTGGGCATGGTGGCGCGTGCCTGTAATCCCAGCTTCTCAGGAGGCTGAGGCAGGAGAATTGCCTGAACCCAGGAGGCGGAGTTTGCGGTGAGCCGAGATTGCGCCATTGCACTCCAGCCTGGGCAACAAGAGCGAAACTCTGTCACAAAAAAAAAAAAAAAAAAAAAAAAAAAGAATGTGTTGTTCCAAGCAGGGAAATGATAGCAGTTGTATTGATCTACACTAATGTTTGGGTCCACTGGAAATAGCAAGTCACAGTCAGGCAGTTTGGGTTGACTGACTCATCCATCCATCCCTCCATCCATCCATCCATCCATCTGTCTAATTATTTAATAAATATTTATTGAGCACCCTTTATAGAAAAAAATCCAAAAAGAAAGAAAAGAAAAAAATCCAGCTTAGGTATTAGAGAGATAAAAAGATAAAGCAGCCACAGACATTGCATTCAAGCACCAAGTACCCAGGAATCTGTTTGGTTATATAGGGATAAAGTATAAACACTTGTGGTAAGTGGTATTTTTAGAAATCATTTTAACTATCTGCAAAACTCCTGCAGCAACTTTGATACCTCCTATAGCATGGTGGAAAGCAACAGAGATAGGGACTCAATTTGGCATCATCTTTATTAAGTATTAGCACAATTTGCATCATGAAAAACAGGTTTACTGGTTCGTAAAAAATGTCCTTCTACATTCATAGAAAATAAAAGCTTTTGGCCGGGCGCAGTGGTTCACGCCTGTAATCCCAGCACTTTGGGAGGGTGAGGTGGTTAAATCATGAGGTCAGGAGTTTGAGACCAGCATGGCCAAGAAGGTGAAACCCCATCTCTACTAAAAATACAAAAATTAGCTGGGCACGGTGGCAGGTGCCCGTAATCCCAGTTACGCTAGAGGCTGAGGCAGGAGAATCGCTTGAACCTGGGAGGTGAATGTTGCAGTGAGCTGAGATTACGCCACTACACTCTAGCCTGAGAGACAGAGCAAGACTCTGTCTCCAAAAAAAAAAAAAAAAAAAAAAAAAAAGAAAGAAAGAAAGAAAAGGAAAGCTTTTGATTTAACCTAATAAAAACATCACTGACTTTCCTAAAACTGAAGAAAGCTTCCCCTCCGTATTGAAATGTATTTCCATGATCTTATACTTTCTTTTTCAGCAATCCTAGGCTGCTATGATAGACATTCTGCTGGCAACAAAACTGACCATATGGTACTCTGTATCATTGCCTCAGCACTGTCTCTGTCTAGGCACCAACTCAAAAGGTCTAGAGATATTTTTTAAAAGCTATCATTGGCTGAGTGCAGTGGTTCACACCTGTAATCCTGGCACTTTGGGCAGCCAACGCAGGAGTTTGAGGCCAGCCTGGGTAAGATAGTGAGACCCCCGTCTCTACAAAAAAAAAAAAAAAAAAAAAAAAAATTGGCACGTGCCTGTAGCCCTAGCTACTGAGGGAGGCTGAAGTGGGAGAATCACTTGAGCCCAGGAATTTGAGGCTGAAGTGTGCTATGATCACGCCACTGCACTCCAGCCTGGGCAACAGAGCAAGACTGCCTCAAAAATATAATGATATATAGCAAAGGTACCAGCAGCCAACTTAAAAGAAGCTCTCATTGGCCTAAGATGGAAAAATCTGAGCATCAGAGAGACCAATAACAGCAAAGGATTGAAAACACAACATAAAACTCGTGTTTATAATGGTGCTCCAGCCACCTCTCCCCAAAACTTGTCATTGTTGCTAAGATACCAACTCACCACTCTGAGTGTTGATAAATAAAAGTAGCCAGAGTCCATGAGGGTGAGTTCTTTTCCATACAATTTCAATTAATAAATGCAGAAGGAATAGTACAATTAGAAAATTACTGTCATGAAATTCTAGATACAGGCAATAATCATCACTGGATGCTAAAACCATCAAGGAAACAAGGTTGACAGGGAAAATGATAACGGAAGGGACCAAACGCATACTTCCTGAGCTCAGTAATCGATTTCAACTTTTGTGAAAGTGGGACAACCAGATGCCAAACGCCTCACGATGCGGAGGCAATAGGAGGTATACGGCACCACACAGGAGGTATTCTTATCTAAAAAATGGCTGAAGCTGAATATGACCAAGCCTCTACATGTAAACTCCAATTTACAGGAACTACAAGGGAAAGAACAAGTTAAGTTACATACAGAAAACAGTTGGCCAAAATTACTAGTTGTATTCAAAGTGTGGTTTTTTTTTTTTTTTTTTTTTTGAGACCGAGTTTCGCTCTTGTTACCCAGGCTGGAGTGCAATGGCGCGATCTCGGCTCACCGCAACCTCTGCCTCCTGGGCTCAGGCAATTCTCCTGCCTCAGCCTCCTAAGTAGCTGGGATTACAGGCACGCGCCACCACGCCCAGCTAGTTTTTTGTATTTTTAGTAGAGACGGGGTTTCACCATGTTGACCAGGATGGTCTCGCTCTCTCGACCTCGTGATCCACCCGTCTCGGCCTCCCAAAGTGCTGGGATTACAGGCTTGAGCCACCGTGCCGGGCCCAAAGTGTGGTTCTTGAACCAGCAGCTTCAGTAGCACGTGGGAAAATATGAGAAATGCACATTCTTGGGGCCCTACTGCAGACCTACTGATTGAGAAAGTCTGGGGGCGGGGCCCAGGAAGCTGTGTTTTAACAAGCCTTCCTTGCGATTTGGATGCATGCTCAACTTTGATAACTATGGCTATACAAAATTAATGGAAATGAACTTTAAAAAGGAAAGGGAAGGGGGACTTAGATTGCTATAGAATAAAGGACATAAGAGATGTAAAAAATAAAAACAAGTATCGTGGGGGATTACACCACCAGTATCCTGAAAAATTATTATTATTGTTATTATTTTTGGAGACAGGTTCTCACTCTATCTCCCAGGCTGAAGAGCAGTGTTGGGATCTCGGCTCACTGCAATCTCTGCCTCCTGGGTTCAAGTGATTCTCCAGCTCCAGCCTCTCAAGTAGCTAGGATTACGGGTACGTGCCACCATAGCTGGCTGATTTTCTTTCTTTTTTTTTTTTTTTTGAGATGGAGTCTCACTCTGTTGCCCACGCTGGAGTGCAGAGGCGTGATCTTGGCTCACTGCAACTGCCACATCCCAGGTTTAAGCAATCCTCTGCATCAGCCTCCTGAGTAGCTGGGATTACAGGCACCCACCCACCCACCATGCCCGATTAATTTTTTTGTATTTTTAGTAGAGATGGGGTTTCACCATCTTGGCCAGGCTGGTCTTGAACTCCTGAGCTCAAAGCCATCTCCCCACATTGGCCTCCCAAAGTGCTGGGATTACAGGTGTGAGCCCCCACACCGGCCCTGAAAAATTATGCTAGCTCAATTAAAAAATATTCACAGGCGTCACTAGCACTATGGCAAAGGGAATCATTACATTTATTCAAGTTTTTAATTCATAAGGAATGAGCAATTTGATTCTTACAGAAATTGGAATGCATCACTTTTTTAAAAAATCATATTTTGACTTTCTTTTGTTACTTCCTTTTCTTCTTTTTTGAAGAGACAGGGTCTTGCTATATTGTCCAGGCTGGTCTCAAACTCTGGGGCTCACGTGATCCTCCCACCTCAGCCTCCCAAAGTGCTCGGATCACAGGCTCAACTTCCTTTTGTTTCACTTCTTTGGGTCTTACTTTCCCTTTGTCTTCAACTCTCTGAACAAAACCCTGAGCTATTTAGAAGAAAAAAGTCATCATGAAGAAATTAACAAGTACATTAGAAAATGTTACTTACATTATGTTTATGACAGAAATTAAGAGCTTGAAGTGTTTGCCATAATATACTTTTGATCACTCCATCAGCAACTCTGAGGGAAAAAAATAAAAAAGGAAATGAAAACTCCTAGGATAGAGTTCCAGAAGCAAGGGCTGGGAAGAGAAGTGGCATGCTGAGGGATGGAACACCGTGCAGAGGGGCCCTAACGAAAGGAACACCATGCAGAGGGGCCCTAACGAAAGGAACACCGTGCAGAGGGGCCCTAACAAAAGATTTTAATGAAAATTTGGCTTTACTATCGTTTATTATAGTTACATAATTTCCTTTTGTAATTTTAATTTTTTACATATGTAAAATGACACATGCTTATGAATATTTAAAAATATGCAAAACAAAAGGAGTAAAACATGTTGGGTCAAATCTTCCTACCCCAAAATAACTTCTATAACTTCCGGTGGCTGTCTCTTCAGGCATCTCTGTTCTTCTCTCTCCCTGTCTCTCTCTCTCTCTTTTTTTTGAGACAGGGTCTGGCTCTGTCACCCTGGCTGGAGTGCAGTGGCACGATCTCAGCTCACTGCAACTTCCTCCTTCTGGGTTCAAGTGATTCGATTCTCCTGCCTCAGCTTCCAGAGTAGCTGGGATTACAAGCGTGTGCCACCATATCTGGCTAATTTTGTATTTTTAGTAGAGCCGGGGTTTCCTCATGTTGGCCAGGCTGGTCTTGAATTCCCGACCTCAGATGATCTGCCTGCCTCAGCCTCCCAAAGTGCTGGGATTACAGGTGTGAGCCACTACTCTCGGCCAGTATCTACTTTTTAACTTTAATTTAAAAATAAATACATTTGTATGGTCAAATTTGAAAAGTATAAATGTATATATATGAAGTCTCCCTGACATCTACCTAGCCACCCATTTATTTTCTTTAATTTCACCCCTGACCACTTTGAGAAACATTTTATGTATAGAGGTACAAATACCAACATGTACACATATATTTTAATGGCTCCAGAGATCATCGTATGGATGTGTAAAAATTTACTTAGTCTCCATTGATGAGCAGTTAAGTTTAGCCAGTTTTTATTTCTAGAAATTCTTTAGTGAGTATCTGTAATCATCCGTCTTATGATATTTTGCAATTATCTTCTTAAGATAAGCTCTAGAAGTGGGATATCTGAGACCAATGGTAGGCATGCATTACATTTTGATCCTGCAAGGATAAAATTCAGGTAGACAGAGACCTGGTTTTGCAGGAAAAAAGTATACTTGGAAGACAGCTCTTCAATTCATCCAACTCATGTTGGCAGTAGACACTCAAGTTATTTTGTAATAGTTACTTGTCCCTGGTAAGCAGGTAGGTTTATAGCCCAAAAGGAGGCCAGGGAGAATAAAGATCCCATGAGAATGAGAGGGTGTGAGCTTCTTGTTCCTGGCAGACTCATCCCTCTGTGTAGAAAATATTGAGAAGTATCATGGGGAGGTGGATTTTCCACTGGGGATTGGGAATCTGGGCAACTTATTCTGTCTGGGAGTATTCTACTTTACGTAACCATCTCTAAAAATTATAGCAATTACATTCTCTGTAACTTTTCCGTTGGTAGCTTTCCATCGCTCCCATCACTGTCCCATGATGATGCCTTCACATTTACACACTGCCAAACTACCCTTTCTGAGGAAGGTTATACCCATTTTCACTCCCACCAAACATCTGTGCATGAAAGTCCCTGTCTCCTCATTGTCTTGCCAACATTTGGTTTTGCCAGTGTTATGTTTGCCAATCTGTGGTTAAAATAAAAACGTGTCTCATTGTGGTTTTTATTTGTATTTCACTAATTTTTAGTGATTATTAATTTTCACGCCCTTATTGGATCCTACATTTCTTCTTTTGTGCAATTCCATTTCATGGCCTTTATTGCTTTTTAAATTGGTCTGTTTACTGTTTTCTAACTGATTTAGAAAGACTCAAGGTACATCACAGTCTGTTACACATGCTGCAAATATTTTTCTCAGTGTTGTTTGTCTTTCAGCCCTGTTGACAGAGGTGTGGCTGTTGTTTGCATGTTTTTCAAAAATCTGAAACGTAAGGGTTTCTTTCACCAAATATCCACTGCAAGGATTTTGTTAATTAAAAAAATTAAATTAGGTAATACCCCAAACATCTCCATCACTCAGATTTAATATTTTGTCATATTTGGATATTTAAGTAGTATATTTAGATCACTTTTTAAAAATTTAACATGCGGCTGGTCCGATGGGAGTGGGTTATCAGAACTTATTAACATTAGTGTCACTAAAGTTGGTATACAACCCCCCACTGCTAAAGTTGACTGGCTTTAAAAAATAAATAAATAAATAAAAATAAAAACTGAACATGCACAGATGTAGCTGACTTCACAGAACAGTGGGAAGGCCTACGCATGACTCAGTTACGACACTAGCTACAAGATACCACCATGTGAGGCTGAAGTATACGCAGAGAAACAGCAAGCAACGTGCACAGCTATTTTTCTTCAGAGCAGTTTCCTCATCTTGTACCACAATTACTGTGGCACATCCTTGACATCAGTGGCCCAGTGACAACCCTTTGACTCTAGTTCTCCTAATTATTATTATGAATGTACCTAATTCTCATGATTAAATCCCTTTCCACTTGAAACGTCTATTTCCAGCATTGAATTCTGATATAACTTTATTCTTCCCTCCACTTAACCTAGGGCCAAACCTGAAACAACATTGTTTACACTTTAAAAATACGAGGCAGAGGCTGGGCGTGGTGGCTCATGCCTGTAATCCAAGCACTTTGGAGGCCAAGTCGGGCGGATCACCTGAGGTTGGGAGTACAAGACCAGCCTGACCAACATGGTGAAACCCCATCTTTAAAAAAATAATTAATTAATTAATTTTAAAAAAAAGAAAAGAAAAAATACGAGGCAGAAAGGATTGTATAGCCGTTTTGGGCACTGTGAGACAGGTTGCTTGAGTTCAAATCCCAGATACGCTGCTTCCTACTTAAATCTTGAACGTTTTATCTAAGCTCTTTGTGCCTTCGGTTTTCCTCATGTGTAATCATAGAATAATATCTCATAAGTTTATTGAGAAATCTATCCCCTCAATGTCTGGTTTTAACACCCACATGGGTTCTGGAGATACAGGTCTGAGATTGGATAAGGACAGTTGATGGGACTGAGACCCCTGCAAAAAGATGGAAGAGGTGCAGAAGAATAGCAGAGGCCCCGAGGAGAGAAAGAACTGGGAGTGTGGCGAAAACAGTGTGAGGCCAGTGTGGCTGACGCATGAGTGAAGAAGCTGGGAAGGCTGGCACAGACCAGTCCATGGAGGGCCTCAGAGATCTAGATCTCGGTAAGAAATTTGGATTTTATTTCAAATTCAAAACCATTGAAAGAAATCAAGCAAAGAAATCACAAAATATGGAGAATGGATTTCTGGGGGGCAACATACATACAGAGAGAGAAATTAGGACACGAATTCAGTTACCCAACTGAGATTTAGACACTTAGGTTATGGTGGCAGCAGTGAGAGGAAGGGAAATGGATTTCAGTCCTTGGGAGGGTCTAGCGAGCGTGAAACACACGCCTCTACTGGTGCGAGAACGGAACACTGATGGTCGGGATCTAAGAGACTACAGGTGCAGGAGAGTAAGTACTGGAACTGGGAAACAAGGTAGGGGCTAGGATTCGGAAACTGCAAAGCCCCAATTATTAGCCTTAATAACACGGACTCGAGAATGAAGTAGTTTCATAGGGAAGTCCCGAGCTATTTAAAGGCATCTCACAGGAAGTGCCCCGTTTGGTTCAGCTAGGTTCCAAGAAGGCAGATTCCATGGGGCAAAACACCACCACCAATCGTGCAAAGAGAAGCTGGCCGTCAAAGAGAACCGCAAATCGACACCACTGCCCATGCAAACAGAAGACAGGCATCAAAGAGAATACACATCCGCGCGGTGCTCAGTCCAGAAAGAGGGCGCCGCAGAACTGCTCAGCCACAGGCAGCATTTTTCAAAGCATCCTGGAGCCAAATAAACCTTTGGTGAAATCAACTGATGCTCAATGTTTAAGTATTATATTTTGGGCAAGTACAAAGACAAATATTCAGTTGATGCAAAAGTAGTGGAGGTTTCTGCCACAGAAAGTAATACTAAAAGTTATAATGAAGGCCTGAAAGCAAACATGAGACATCACAGTTCAAGTCTGAATGGGTTAACAAGAAAGGGTAACATGGTGGGGGAATTCAGACTGAACTGCCCAGAATATGCTCTTTGAGGCACTCAGGGGAAGACACGATGCTGACGTCAGAAGTCATTGCCTGTAAGTTTGTTATAAAAACAGAACAGGGGAAGCTTGATTTCATTATTACCCAAGATGAACTCGGTCCTTCTCAGTAAATCTTTCCTAGGCTAGAATAAAATCCAGCCTTGTTTCTATGACCTGCCAGGCTGTTGATAACATTTTACTTCGATTTCCCTTCCCAACTTTATCTCCTATTACATCCCAATGTCACTCCAGCCCAGCCCATTAGTTTCTGCTATTCTCTGAACATGCCAGGCTTATTTACACCTTCAATCTTTGTGCTTATTGTTCCTTCTACTCCCTTTTCATGATGAGTAATTTCCTGTGTTCACTTGACTAGGTTAAGGGATGCCCAGACAGCTGGTAAAACATTATTTCTGCCAGATGTGGTGGCTCATGCCTGCAATCCCAGCACTTTGGGAGGCTGAGGCAGGAGGATTGCTTGAGCCCAGGAGTTTGAGACCAGCTTGGGCAACATGGCAAGACCCCATCTCTACTCGAAGTTTAAAAATTAGCCAGACATAATGGTGAGAGTCCCAGCTGCTCAGGAGGCTCAGGCAGGAGGATTACTTGAATCCAGGAGTTTGAGGCTGCAGTGAGCCATGTTCAGGCCACTGCAGAGAGTGAGATGAGTGAATGAGACCCTCTCTTTCAAAAAAAAAAAAAGAAAAAACCCAAAACCTCATTTGTAGGTGTGTCTGTGAGGGCATTTCTGGAAGGAATTCACATTTGAATCAGTAGACTGAGTAAAGAAGACCCACCCACAATGGTGAGGGCAGGCAGGCAT